CCCACAGTCCTCCCCCTCCCCTCACCGTCCTCCCCCTCCCCCACCGCCCTCCCTCACCGTCCTCCCCCACCTCACCCTCTCCTCCTCCTCACCGTCCTCCCCCCCCCACCGTCCTCCCCCTCACCATCCTCCCCCTCCCCCACCGTCCTCCTCTCCCCCACCGTCCTCCCCTCCCCCACCGTTCTCTCCCTCACCGTCCCCCTCCTCCACCGTCCCCCTCCTCCACCGTCCCTCCTCCACTGTCCCCCTCCTCCACCGCCCTCCCCACCTTCTCCCATATCAAACAACAATCACCAAATCTATCCATACACTGTAGCGTTACTGAAACAACATTTGTCAAAAACTTATCAACTCATTTTAGTGTTTGTGACTTTAACTTCGACAGCTCATAAAACTCTATCTGCTGCAGGACATAAGACTCTCTCTAAACTCTATTACATAACTCTGGTCCTTGAAGCTCCTAATTAAATGATATAATTTAAGTATACTCAATGTATTAAAGTATTTATTATTGTTATACATAAATACAATAGGCGATAAATGTATTCCCTTTAAAGTTGTATATTCACTGAGATAATTTATAATGAAAGAATAAACAAAGGTGAAAAAGGCTCTGTACTGTTCTGTAATTTTTCCCCAGGACAGAGAGGCAGCAAGGGTCATCAATAAACAAACATATGGTAATACCTAACATCGCTATGAAAATGTTCACCGTCCTGGAAAGTACATTTCTCGTACACTAAATACTAAATTACCATATGTTTGTGTGTGTACCGATGAATACTTTTTTTTTGTCCACCATTAAAACAAAATCTGTAAATGTGTTTCGTGCCATTACAAACAAAACATAAAGACACGCTGTTATGACCCTTATCTAAACACGGCAGATTAACGTGTGCGTGTGTGTGTGTAGTAGTAGTAGTAGTAGTAGTAGTAGTAGTAGTAGTAGTAGTAAGTTGCAGCAACTGTTGCTGCAGGTTCCAGAAAATTTGAAAAAAAAGTAGCTATAGCGCAGGTGGTGGGCGCCTCGAACTGGTTAACTACGTTACCGATAAGGGCAAATGGTTTCAGTCTTAACAAACAAGAATTTACAGATGCCATTGCTCTAAGGTACGGTCGGCCAGTAGAAGGTTTGCCCTCTCAATGCGTGTGTGGCTCTTCCTATGACGGCGATCACGCCATGGTGTGCAAGAAAGGGGGCTCATATGCATGAGGCATGACGAAGTAAGGGACCTTACAGCAAATATGCTGAAGGAAATCTGCCGGGATGTCATGGTAGAACTGACCCTCCTTCCATTGGATGGTGAGATCTTCCAACATAGGACTTCAAACACATCTAACGAAGCCCGTGTTGACGTCAGTGCTCGAGGATTCTGGACGCGGGTACAGCGAGCTTTCTTCGACATCAGGATTTTTGATCCCATGGCCGCATGTCACCGTAACCTAGCTCTCGATGCTGCACATAGGAGGAACGAGAACGACAAGATAAGGGCATATGGAGAGAGAATCCAAAACGTTGATCAAGGCAGCTTCACTCCTCTAGTGTTCACAACCTCTGGTGGGATGGGACCAAGTGCAAGATGTTTCTATGCCAGACTCTCGGAGGTGATCTCCGAACAGAAGCAGCAGCCCAGAAGTTTCGTTACAGCCTGGATGAGATGTCGACTGTCTTTCTCTCTCCTTCGGTCGGCTTTGCTCTGCCTCAGGGGAACGAGAGCTTCTGCCCCAACTCCGACAACTGCCGCAGATATTGACTATGAGGCTACTGTCACTGGATGCCGCATAGATCTGCGGCTCAACTAATTTAACACAGATAGGATAGCTACTTATGTATTAGGATATTTAATATTAAGGTAATTAAATGGTGGCGAAGGTGTGGCTATTGGGGGAGGCTGGAGGCCACGTTAAAAAAAAGTAGTAGTAGTAGTAGTAGTAGTAGTAGTAGTAAGGGGGTGGGGGTGGGGCAGCATTGTTTTACTTGAATTTTAGAGGGAAAAAATAAACAGTAGTGGTGTTTGTCCTGGGAAAAAATAAACTAAACTAAAAACAAAACAAAAAACGTAGTTGTAGTAAATTAAAAAACGAATACTTTACTTGTTTATTTATGCAACAGTCATCCACGTGGGTGTTGGACCTTGAAACACACACACAAAATATATATATAAAAATAGAATCGGGCTTCCCTCGTGGATCAGTCCGCTCTATATTCTTTTAATGTTATCCGTATTTTCCATTTCCCTCCATTATACAGCCTCATATTTTTGTTTTCATATCTTTGTCAATTTAAATACAGTATACTATAACATGCGGCTAACAGTCATCACACGAACAATTACATTGACGGAGGTAAATTGTTGTCATTGATGGAAATAAATTGTATGGTGTTGTATTGTGTTGATGTATTTGTTATTTTCCCCGTGTTGTGCTCAGGGGTGAAGTCACTCTCCACTGTACGGTATAGCCAGACTCGATAATGAATTCCTGTAACTCAAAGCAAAATTCACTATTACCGGAGGCTGTTATCGGTAAAAGGTTGCACACGCTGTCAAAGAATCAAATGTTTTCAGGTAAATGTACAGTACAGCGAGAGAGAGAGAGAGAGTCAGGTTGTGTGTGCTCAAGCGCCTTCTCTTCCCTTACTGTAAAACAAACCCTTGAGTGGAGAGTTGAGCCATGTATCTAAAACGCCCCCTTTAAACCGTTGAGGACGATGATTTAACCCTTTGAGGACGATGGTTTAAATCATCAAATTCAAGCGTCTGAATGATCGTACTCAAGAGTGTAAATGATCGTACTCAAGGGGCTAAATCATCGTACTCAAGGGGCTAAATCATCGTACTCAAGGGGCTAAATCATCGTACTCAAGGGGCTAAATCATCGTACTCAAGGGGCTAAATCATCGTACTCAAGGGGCTAAATCATCGTACGCAAGATGGTTAAATCATAGTCCTCAGGTTAACAATCCTATCTGTGGTAAGCCAGTAGCAGCAGCGTGTGTCGTGAGCCGTGTCCGACACAAACACAAACACATGCATAACGAATACATTGCTCATTTGCATACTGTCCAGGCGCGGTCACACACTGCTCAGGATATACCTTGCTACAACAACAACAACAACAACAACAGTGTAATAGCTAAGACCATGAATAATTCCAGACTCCCACAACACAAGACTCTCCCCACAACACAAGACTCTCCCCACAACACAAGACTCTCCTCACAACACAAGACTCTCCCCACAACACAAGACTCTCCCTACAACACAAGACTCTCCCCACAACACAAGACTCTCCCCACAACACAAGACTCTCCCTACAACACAAGACTCTCTCTACAACACAAGACTCTCCCTACAACCACAAGACTCACAACACAAGACTCTCCCTACAACACAAGACTCTCCCCACAACACAAGACTCTCCCACAACACAAGACTCTCCCTACAACAAGAATCTCCCACAACTAAGACTCTCCCCAACACAGACTCTCCCCATAACACAAAGCTCCCCACAACACAAGACTCCCCACAACACAAGACTCTCCCTACAACAAGAATCTCCCCACAAGACTCTCCCACAACACAAGACTCTCCCTACAACAGAAGAGACTCTCCCCACAACACAAGACTCTCCCCAACACAAGACTCTCCCCCCACACAAAGACTCTCCCACAACACAAGACTCCCCCCCAAACAACAACAAGACTCTCCCCACAAACAAGACTCCCTAACAAAAAGAATCTCCCCCACAACACAAGACTCTCCCCCACAACACAAGACTCTCCCCACAACCCACAAAGACTCTCCCACAACACAAGACTCTCCCCACAACACAAGACTCTCCCCATAACACAGACTCTCCCACCACAAACACAAGACTCTCCCCACAACACAAGACTCTCCCCACAACACAAGACTCTCCCCATAACACAAGACTCTCCCCACAACACAAGACTCTCCCCACAACACAAGACTCTCCCCACAACACAAGACTCTCCCCACAACACAAGACTCTCCCCATAACACAAGAATAACCTAACCTAAACATAACCTAACCTTATTAAACGAATAGGTATTGTAAGTATAATCACAACAAAAGCTATAGACAGTTTCCTATAACAACCACCATAGCAGTTGTTGTCGTTCTCCTATAATTTTTGTCTCATAACCATATCAGCCAGGTCAGTCAGTCAGTGTAAATTCTCATAAATTCTATTAAAAAAAAATCATAAATAATTGTTGTTGAGTTTATGTTCGTACAGTCACGGTATAAAGAAACTCGTGTCAGTCTTCCTCGCCCACATGATCCCTGAGACTCGGAAATCTGTCATCACTCCTCCATTCCTTCCCTTTTTCCCTCTTTCCTTTCCCCTCTCCTTCTTCCCTCTACCCCTCTTTCCCTTTCCCCCTTCCTATATTCCCCTCCTTCCATATCAAACAACAATCACCAAATCTATCCATACACTGTAGCGTTACTGAAACAACATTTGTCTTAAACTTATCAACTCATTTTAGTGTTTGTGACTTTAACTTCGACAGCTCATAAAACTCTATATGCTACAGGACATAAGACTCTCTCTAAACTCTATTATATAACTCTGGTCATTGAAGCTCCTGCAACAAAACACATTATATTAGTTACGGTGGGAATAACCTTACCTGTTGACAGCATCTAAAACACGAGCCGGAAATAAAACAGTAAGAGAGATTAAGGTTGGCGGATGAGGTTGAAGGCTGGTGGTAAGGTTGACGGGTGAGACTGAGGTTGGCGGATGAGGTTGAAGGGTGAAGATATGGTTGAGATTGAGGTAAGGTCGTGAGTAAAGTTGAGGGTGAGGTTGCAGGATGAGGGTGAGTTTGAAAGGCGAGGTCGAGAGTGAAGTTGAAGAGTGAGGCTGAGGATAAGGATTGAGGATTTAGGAGAGGTTTAAAGATGAGCCCAAGGGTGAGGTACGAGGTATACAAGGTTGGAGGATGAGGTTGAACCAGCCAGGTACTCACCAGGTAAGAGAACCGGTTCCTCCGTCTGATGAAGCACAGCACCAGCAGCCCCGTCACAATCAGCTGAAACACCGAGGAAGGTTATGTTAGTTTTACCTGTCGGGAACAAGTCACGCGGGTCACCTACTTCTAACACGCCCCGACAGTACACACCCATTAGAACTGACACCCATTAGGACTGACACCCATTAGAGCTGACACCCATTAGGACTGACACCCATTAGGACTGACACCCATTAGAACTGACACCCATTAGAACTGACACCCACTAGAGCTGACACCCATTAGAGCTGACACCCATTAGAACTGACACCCATTAGAACTGACACCCATTAGAACTGACACCCATTAGAACTGACACCCACTAGAGCTGACACCCATTAGGACTGACACCCACTAGAGCTGACACCCATTAGAACTGACACCCGTGGGACTGACACCCATTGACTGACACCCATTTGACAGACTGACACCCATTAGGACTGACACCCATTGACACCCATTAGAACTGACACCCATTAGGACTGACACCCATTAGGACTGACACCCATTAGAACTGACACCCATTAGAGCTGACACCCATTAGGACTGACACCCATTAGAACTGACACCCATTAGAACTGACACCCATTAGGACTGACACCCATTAGGACTGACACCCATTAGGACTGACACCCATTAGAAGTGTGATCCATTACGAATCGGGTTCCATTGTGAATGTTTAATTGTTTATATAAGCCTTAACTAATATCTAAATATTTATATAATTTTTACATCCACGTTAAAAAAAAATAAAATAAAATAAAGCAAAAGTGAAAAAAAAAATCCCGGGAAGGAGAAATGTAAATATAGTAATATCTTCGCCTGTGCGTTAGTCCGTCCGTTCATCCGTCCGTCCTCTCTGTCCGTCCGTCAGTCCAAAGACAAACACGATGACTCCCTAGTGATGGATGCTAACCCCAAACTTTCCTATGTTCTGTATACACTGTGCCACAACACCTGAGACACAGTTACATAATTAATGCTTTCTGTCACCCGGAGTTTCGCCTTCTGGGACCTGTGGGCGGGAGGAGGGACGTGTGGGCGGGAGAAGGAATTGTGGGCGGGAGGAGGGACCTGTGGGCGGGAGGAGGGACGTGTGGGCGGGAGGAGGACGTGTGGGCGGGAGGAGGGACCTGTAGGCGGAAGGAGGGACCTGTGGGCGGGAGAACTGTGGGTGGGAGGAGGGCTGGGGGTGGGGAGGGGCTGTGGGAAGAAAGAGGACTGTGGGTGGGAGGAGGGCTGTGGGCGGGAGGAAGGACGTGGGCGGGAGGAGGCACCTTACTCTCTCCTTGATCTTAATTCCGGTAATATATCTTCCCTCTTGTCTTTGTTTTAAGTGTTATGAAGATTTGGAACACCATTATTTCACCTGATGATTATACAGCCTAGTTGGGGGTAAGGTAGGGTACTTTAGGTTATAGGTGTGATTAGGTTAGGTTAAGTTAGGTTAAGTGCGATTGGGTTAAGTTAGGTTAGTTTTGATTGGATTTAGTTTAGTTAGATTAGGTTAAATAAGCTGGGGTGCCTAATCTTCACGAGGCCCCCTCCCCCAGTTGTGTATAACCTGTATCAACTATCATATACTGTATTTATCCAGAGATCAGTAAGCACCACTGGGATGAGAGGAGACCTGAGACTCTAATCCCTCACTGATTATATAAAACTACATGACTGAAATCCTACACACTAAATTAAAAACATTTTGTGACTCGGATCAACGGCCAGCTTCCTCTAACACACCATTAGCCTTAAATAACCTCGTCATTTATATTGACTTTATCTGTTAAACTGAACGATACATTGTGACAAATATATTTTAAACTAAGATATTTTTATAGACTTAGTGAGGGAATGTTTAGAGCACTGAGGCCCCTCACCATCAGTGTACATGTGTGTGGTGAAGGTATACAGCGAGGTACAAGTCAGGTGTGTTGTGGAGGTACAGGTCAGGTGTGTGATGGAGGTATACAGCGAGGTACAAGTCAGGTGTGTTGTGGAGGTACAGGTCAGGTGTGTGATGGAGGTATACAGCGAGATACAGGTCAGGTGTGTTGTGGAGGTATACAGCGAGGTACAGGTCAGGTGTGTTGTGGAGGTACAGGTCAGGTGTGTGATGGGGGTATACAGCGAGGTACAGGTAAACATGACACGGTGAATGTGAAACGGACATAAGCAACAAAGGCAAAATTAATGAGGGATTTAACCAAAACATTTAATAACAGTTTCATCTGATCACCTGCGACACTGACACGCAACACCTGCGTTATATTTTTTACTTATAAACAATATCGGATCAGAGTTCACTACACTATACACCAAAGGTCACTACTGATGAACCTGCACCAATAACGCCTCCACCTTTTAATTAGATTTACCCTTACGCTCTCACTGCTCTGCATACATTTGGAGTTAAAATGTTGTTTTCAGAATCGTTTAAATACAAATGCTCCATTGTAAGGTCTTTATGGCTGAGGTTTGGGATCAGGCGTTTGGCGATTACGAGCGGCAGTGAGTAACCTTCCGGGCCTCCAGCGTGTAGAGGATATTCTGAAGGGCTGTAACTGCCCCCACCCCCCCTCCGCCTGTGACGTGACTTTACGGCCCAGCCAAGTTTAATGTCGCCCTCACAGCAACAACTACACAGCGTTTTATTTCATATACCGTGTTTTATGTCTCGTATCACTTTGCCGGAATAGTGTAAATAGTTGTGGCAGTAGAGGAAGAAAAAGCAAAACCAACACAATACTGAAGATTCCGCCTCGTGTTTGGGGTAAGTTGTAGGTTGTCAGGTTGAACGAGACCATTCCAGCGACAACTACACCAGGTTTTATATGAGGAGAGTTTGTTTTATTTCTCGTGTGTCTTTCTATACTAAGGTGGACACTGGTCTGAGGAGCGTCTAACAGGAGAATTAAATTGTAGTGAGTTAAAAGGTATTTATAACAGTTTCAGCCACGTCTGACCGAGGTAAACGGAGACACAGGTCGCTTAAGAGATACTTTATTACTAAGAGAATTAATTAAACAAGACTCGTCGAGCTGAAAGAACTTTATACCAAACTATAAGAATGGGGTAGTGCGGTGGTAAAGTGGATAAAGCGACCATCTTCCACCCTAAGGCTCGCTGGTTAAAATTCCAAGGCGCCATAGTTCCATCCAGTTACAAATGGGGTACCTGACTTAACAGTTTAGGAAGAGATGGCGGTCGAGTGTAGTGCCGAACAAGCTACCTACCTGTGTATCGATGGTTTAACATACAGTGTAATGTATCAACACTCGTTATGGAACCCACTTTCACTTTTTTTTCCACAACAATGAATAACGTTAGTGAGCTGCAGAGATGTATCCTCACACAGGTAAGTACAGTGATAATATAAATATAAAATACCTGAGTCTCGAACTAAATTAAAACCAGGACACGAATTTTCACATTACAACCTCGGGTTCGGTTCGGTTGAGTTCAGTCAGTTTGCGAGCCCGACGAAATTTAGCGAGTTCCGAGCTGGTTCGAATGGAAGTGAATCCCCGAATCTGAATAGCTATTTGTAGTTACGTCACGCGGATTAACCGAAGTAATTAGATACTAGGAATAAACAACGTTAATGTGAACACGAGCAGTGGTAGATAATTGGGTGTTCAACAAAGGTCCATAAAACTAAGTTGAACAGACGGAAATAACAACCACGGAACGATACTTTTTTAATTTAAATTACGAGTTGATACTGTAAAATTAGGGGGTGTCAGCTTAATGGATGAAGTTCTACACACACACACACACACACACACACACACACACACACACACACACACACACACACAAAGTCTCATGGTCAGTTAGGGGCGGTGCGGATACCTACTTTACTGCTAGGTGAACAGGGACTAATTGTCATCGGCACAGTACTCAACCGCCGTCAATTCACCAACTATATAGGTACCCAATCACAGCTGGGTCAACTGGGGATGGCCTGGGCACGAACCAATGACCCATAGGATAGGAAGCGAGTGCTATATCCACTCAGCCACCTCACCTCGAATTAGCAAGTATAGTCATTGAAATCACTGAAATTCCAAGGAGCATTATTTATTTAATTGGTAACTTGAGTAATGAAAATGTAAAAGTCGAGATCTGAAGAGAGAGAGAGAGAGACACTGGCTGCTCAACTATTACCGTACACCAAAATTAACCCCATTCCCTTGTGTCATATTACGGTGGTGGAATTTAATCATTAGCCATTTATCACGCTAATTTATCACACACACTCACACAAAAGCTATACTCACGTAAATACAGAAATTATATGAAAACACATAAATTTTTTTCACGTTTTCTATGAAGCTGAATTTCATTTTTTTTCACCTGGATAACTTACTGATTAAGCTTACCAAATATAACTAAATTAAATCAGAGTCTATGTTATAAAAATTCAATCGTATCTTAATTTCTTTCCGGTAAATGCACTGTGAAGGTTAACGTGAAGGTCATAGTAGCGTGTTGGGGTGAAGAAGTTGGTGAGCGTGTTGACCCGGCAGTTGGCCAAGACCTTGTAGTGGGTGTTGCTGTGGGTCAGCTTTAAGCATTATGAGAGATGGAGCTGAGTACAGTAGTGGACATCTGGCGGGTTGAGGCGACAGGTGTTAACATCACGTATTACTTCCTTACACCTGCGACTGATTGATTGTCTTACCTGCCTGGACCTTCCTACTATTAACCCTCCCTCCCTCCCTCCAAGACCACTACCTTCCCCCCCCTCCCTCCAAGACCACTTCCTCCCTCCCTCCACCAAGACCACCTCCTCCAAAACCACTACCTTCCTCCTCCCTCCCTCCAAGACCCCTACCTTCCACCTCCAACAAGACCATATCCTCCCTCCACCAAGACCACCTCCTCCAAAACCACTACCTTCCTCCCTCCCTCCACCAAGACCACCTCCTCCAAAACCACTACCTTTCTCCCTCCTCCAAGACCACTACCTTCCTCCCTCCCTCCAAGACCACCTCTCCAAAACCACTACCTTCCTCCCT